AAATTTCTGCAGCATTGAGGTCCTAATGAGCACAGTGGCCTCCATCATCCATAAATAGAAGTTTGGACCCACCAGAAATCTTCCTAGAGCGGACCACCCGGCCAAAATGAGTGATCGAGGAGAAGGGCCTTAGCCAGGGAGGTAACTAAGCACCTGATGGTCACTCTGAAAGAGCTCCAGCATTTCTCTGTGGAGAGAAGAGAACCTTCCAGAAGAACTGTCTCTGCAGCACTCCACCAATCAGACCTGTATGGTAGAGTGCCCAGATGGAGGCCACTCCTCAGTAAAGGCAAATGGCAGCCCACCTGGAGTTTTCCAGAAGGCACCTGAGGGATTTTCAGACCATGAGAAACAAACCTCTCTGGTCTGATAAAACAAAGATTGAACGCTTTTTTGCCTGAATGCCAAGCGTCATGTCTGGAGGAAACGAGGCACCGCTCACCACCTGGCCAAACCATCCCTACAGTGAAACATGGTGGTGGCAGCATCATGCTGTGGAGATGTTTTTCAGCAGAAGGAACTGGGAGACAAGTCAGGATTGAAGGAACGATGAATGCAGCAATGTACAGAGACACCTTTGCTGAAAACCTGTTTGAGTGCTCTGGACCTTAGACTGGGTTGACGGTTCATCTGGACAACAATCCCAAGCACACAGCCCACATAACAAAGGAGTGTCTACGGGACAACTCTGTGAATGTCCTGGAGTGGGCCAGCCAGAGCCCAGACTTGAATCCAAACATCTCTGGAGAGATCTAAAAATGGCTGTGCACAGACACTCCCCATCCAACCTGATGGAGCTTGAGAGGTACTGCAAAAACAAATGGGGGAAAATGCCCAAAAATAGGTGTGCCAAGCTTGTAGCATCACACTCAAAACAACTTGGGGCTGTAATTGGTGCTAAAGGGGCTTCAACAAAGTATGGAGCAAAAGCTGTGAATACTTATGTACATGTGTTTATTTTTAATAAATTGCAAGAGATTTTAAAACTAACTTCTTTCCCGTTGTCATTATGGGGTATTGTTTGTAGAAATGTTGAGGGAAAAAATAAATTTAATCCATTTTGGAATAAGGTTGTAACATAACAAAATGTGGCAAAAGTTAAGCGCTGTGAATACTTTTCTGGATGCTCTGTAAAACAAGAAAACAAAGTTATTTGAAAAGCATAAATGCTTATATACTTCATAAATTAACTTTTCTGAATGCAGGAAAAGTAATAACAGGCGTTTCAGTGAGAATGAGGCCTAAAGGCATTTATCCAAATTATGGTTCATCTAGTAGTAGCTGGTCATAGTCAACTGGACTTGTTCTGTAATGTTTCGCTGCTAATCCGAAGTGGCTTCTTCAGCTCCAAATGGGAAATGTAAGTATAATATATAGCTAAAGGCCATTGTACAAATGCTGAAGTCTTCTGAAAAGGCGGCTAGTCATGCTGAGCCAATAGGGATTGAGACCCTGACCCAGAGCAAGAGTTTTGCCAACTGTGGGCTTGTAGTGAACTGGCAGATAACCGGTATGCACTTGCTTGTCCCAGATAAACAACCCACCATTTAATAAGGAATGGTGTCAGGATGACCGCACTGAAGCTTGAACCTTCAAAAACGCCAGGAATGGCTTCTCTCATTTTTCTGTTCAATAGTTTTAAATAATTGTTCAGTTTCTTGCATAAACCCAACCATGACTTCTGTAAACGTAGTCCAGAAACCACAAGTGCGGTTACATAGCTGCCACCACCGTACCCAGTGGACAACCACTTACTGGCATCGTAGGATATTGTGACCCATAACAACTGGAATACTGCTGCATCACACTTGTTTACGATTAAAAAGAAGATATCTAGTAGATACTGTATGAGCAATGCTTCCATCTTCTCATTCTTTAGAATATCTTATAATTATTGTTCAAGTTTAAAAGGGTAACTCCACTTATGTGTGGGGAAAAAAAAAAAAAAAAAAATAGTAATAGTAATAAATATATATATATATATATAAATAATTTTCTTTTTTTTTTTATAGTGTTTACAATTGCAACTCCATTCATATTGTAATTGAAGGTTATTAAAAGTGGTTTCCTTTTCGATCTGCTGCACTGTAATTTTCTGTAAAATACAATATGGCAACATGGAGGGTACACAGTGTACAGAGGGCCCCCTGAAAATGTGATTTCCTGCTTGAGTGATTGGCTTACTAATTTTCCCCCGATGTCTGCACTAAGATACAAGTCATTTTTGGCATCCCCTGCAACAAAAATGTCATATTTTGATAAGATACTCCCCATGGGAAATCACGTCTAAAAGGATACAGACACTGACAGTTTACTCAGAGTCCTGCAAGTGCAGCAGCTGATTGATAATTATAAAACCACTCCCATACAGATTAAATCTGTATATAGAGACAGACAAACATGCATTTCTTCAGGAAAAAAAAAAAAGAAATCTGCAAAAAAAAGTTTGTTAAAATCCTTGCAATGTACATAATCACCCAGAGGGGAATTTTTTTTCACAACAAAAAGGAGTTATTCTTCAAAAGAATTCAGAGTTGAGAAAAAAAAGCCAATACAGTTATAGTCAAAGTTTTATTATTTAACATTATAAAAATTTTACAAAATCTCAACTGCAAAAGCAGACTCTAAAATGACATGAAATTTTTGCATTTGTATTAAAGCTTTGTAAAATGTGCAAAGACAAAAAGAAAGGAAGGAGATATCCATTGAGATCTCTTCTTTCTTGGCATTATCCAGTCAATAAAAAAATGCAATTGAATCGCAACTAGAATTTTTTTTTTTACAATTTTATTTAGAGCATGGAAGGGTTAGCACTTCTAGCAGGCCTAAAATGCTGTGTGTCCCCATTGAGGAGATTTTCCCCACTTCCTATCAGGCACAATGATTAAATAGGAAGTTCAGAGAAACCCCTGCGCTGAGACATAGCAATGAAAGGGCGATAGAGGTGGTAACACTTTCACATGCCAAAACTATAAAACAAACACAAAAAAAGTTTTAGGGAGTGTCAGACATTAACAAGACAGAAAATTGACATGTTTCAGATCCAGAAAAATCTTTTTGGCACATTTGTGTGTCTGCCACATAATACTGTTTGCAAAAAAGTAGTAGTGTATTGATCTGCAGGCTTCTACTAGGTGACAGTGTAAGAGCACCATGGTGTCACAGGGCAGTCTGTTATTTTTTAAAAACGTCCATACCATCTGCCCTTAGATTACTTACAAAGTCAAACATATCCAATTTGTTCACTTGTATTTCAGAGCACATGTTTTGTTCATGATGCAGACATCGCTTGCCAAGTTGCTCACATCAAAGAATTAAGCCTATTAACGTGAAACTTAAATCTATACAGAGTTGTGCGTTTTTAGGAAATGCGTCCGGTAAATATTTTGTGCAGCCCACATATTGGTTGCATTTAATACTGATGGGTGACTGGTGAACTAAAAGTAAAAATTATCCATAGCTCAAAATCATCTAGTTGAATTACCCAACTAAAAAGTAGTTGGAAACTTCACAGCAGCTTGAAAGACAATTATAGGGGCTCTCAGTTGGCAAATGACAGCATCCAGCTCCAAAGTTGGACATAGACAACCCTAGTGCAATGTCTTAGAGAACTCTGCAACCAATAGAGAAGCTCACTTTGCAAGTGGATGGGCCACAGCTACGACTTTCTGAGGTGGAGTGTCTCCAGCTTGGAGTGTTTCTTGACACCCAGCAAGATAAAGTGTGTGCAGGCTACTTTTTATGCTAGACAGTTCAGCTTGATATCTTCAATGTCCAACTCCAGTTTTTTGTTTTTTTTTTTTAGTTATATATCAGTGCCCCAGGTAATCTAAAATGAAAACGTAGCTCTTGCAGTAGTTGCCTCCTCTCTGTTACGGTCTCCTGAAGACTCGCCTGCTCTGTAATCAAGTTCCGGTCCTCCTCCAGGTTAAAGAACACCTAGCATCACTCAATGCATTTCCTCTGAGTGCAGGGAGTCATGGACCTGCCTTTTGAAGGGCAAGCACCACTGTGCCCTGGACAGAGTACAATGGGGCAGCTTTTCCTCTGAATGCAGGGTGTCATGGACATGCCTCTTGAAGGGCAAGCACCACTGTGCCCTGGACTGAGAGTACAATGGGGCAGCTTTTCCTCTGAATGCAGTGTGTCATGGACATGCCTCTTGAAGGGCAAGCACCACTGTGCCCTGGACAGAGTAAAATGGGGCAGCTTTTCCTCTGAATGCAGGGTGTCATGGACCTGCCTCTTGAAGGGCAAGCACCACTGTGCCCTGGACAGAGTAAAATGGGGCAGCTTTTCCTCTGAATGCAGGGTGTCATGGATATGCCTCTTGAAGGGCAAGCACCACTGTGCCCTGGACAGAGTAAAATGGGGCAGCTTTTCCTCTGAATGCAGGGTGTCATGGACCTGCCTCTTGAAGGGCAAGCACCACTGTGCCCTGGACAGAGTAAAATGGGGCAGCTTTTCCTCTGAATGCAGGGTGTCATGGACATGCCTCTTGAAGGGCAAGCACCACTGTGCCCTGGACAGAGTACAATGGGGCAGCTTTTCCTCTGAATGCAGGGTGTCATGGACCTGCCACTTGAAGGGCAAGCACCACTGTGCCCTGGACTGAGAGTACAATGGGGCAGCAATGCTCTATGTACCATTGTAGACCATCCAGCACTGGAAAAGAAGAGAAGAGGACCCAGCTTGTCATGGGACTGATCTGGAAAAGTTAAGCCTGAAAAATGTGGGTGTGACTCCAGAAGGGTGAGGGTGGTGGATAGAGTTTAGCTCAACCTAAACTGGTAGTTTTTAAATGGGTTCAGGCTGTGAAAAGTTCTCCAAAGTTTCCTTTGTGATATAACTGAACAGTCCAGTCTAACAAAAAACACAAAAGTAATGTCTGTAAATGCTGTGCAGAGCTGAAAACTCTCACCATCAGATTTAGAAGAATAATGTGGTTCAGCTCGCCCATATCTACCCTAAACTGTTAGGCGGTTTGAAGAAGCCTATCATCAAGCAGTTGTTTCCCCATCTTGGGAGGTTTGGATGCAGTCTACCAATGAAGGAACAGCCTCTTTAGAAGGAGCAAAGAATGTCTGGGATTCAGTATAAAACATTGGGGTGCTGGGTTGTTCTTCATCGGCTTGTGCCAGTGGCTCTGGGAGTGGCAGATCCTGAGGGTTCTCTTGGTACAAGCTATTATAAGATCCTGACACATTGTTGGTGGACCTTTTGATCAGCGATGAGCGACTGCCAGGTGGTATAAATGCTGCACTGAGAGCAGCAGACGAGGCCAGCGGAGAAGCCCCAACACCTTGCAAGAGGCGGCTCAGCAATGGAAATTGAGAGGATAAAGTCTCTTCGTTCAATTCTTCTATATCTGAGAGCTGTTGGAACTGCATGTCCTCCTTGGCGAGCCTATTTCACAATTAAAAGGATACATTTCAGTTAAAGATCACCAATAATATTCATTATTTTAAAGTGGAGCCAACACAAAGCTTTGAACAGACTGAGATCAATAACATTTAATAATTGTTGAAAGACTTACAATTTGTGGAGAACATGCTGTTCTAGGTTCCTCTAGCACTGCTCACAAACCAAAAGCCTGGCGATTTGGTCTTATAGTCTTTGCAAAAAAGGAAGGATCAGAAACTCTTAACTCCTGATCCTTCCCTTCAACAGAGATCATATATGACTGAATTTTCTTCAGGAAAGGGAAGTATTTCAGCTCTGATATAGAAAAACTAAATCAGAGATCGATGGTACTTACGCCATGTCAAATGTAGATCCCTGGAAGGATGGTAGGTACTTCTGGAATAAGGTAGCAGCTGTGTATGGTGGACGAGGTTCTGAATCATTCCAGTATCGATCCTTCACCAAAACAGGAACATCATCATACATCTCATCCACTGCCAACATGGACACCTAGAAAGAGAGCCGGAGGAAATAACATTTATGATACATGTCGGAAATGAAGACCTAGGAGAAAACCCAACCCATGCTCAGTGACACATCTGATACAACATGGCTGGCCAAAGAAAAAAAAAAAAACAAAAAAAAAACTTATGACTGTTTTGTTCTTATAGCACCTCTAATGTGGCAGGTGCTAGCCTCTGTCCCCGTCCCCTCCATTTCCACTCCCCCCACACCAAGGAGCAGATTGCAGTGGCTGTGTCAGGGAGAGGAGAGCAGTGACATCAGGCCTGTGTATGCGCCGCCCATTCTATTTCCATCCTCCCTCCCCCCTCTTCCTAACACATCAAGGACCAATGGGGAGGAAGAGATGGAGGACAGGGGGATCATGGGACATATAGCCCCAGAAGGGATCCAGCCCCATTTTTACAGGTTGGGAGAAAGATAAAGTTCCCAGCATGCTAAACAAGAGGAGGAGAGCCTAGAGCACAGGATGGAGTGGGGGGAGAGGGACCCGGGACTGTAGGGTGCTACTAGGGACTGAGAGGACAGAGGATGGTGCTGTAGGAGACCATCCGAGGGAAAGCCACACAGCTCAGAGCCATCCCAGAGAAAAGGACTGAGGAGGGATGCGGGATCCACAGCTGCAGGAGCAAGGGACTACCCTCCCCCAGCCTGGACAGAGTGGAGGCCCTTTCATTCCAGCAAGCTCCATCACCAGGTGCAGATCTACAGCCACCTCACCAGCATTGTGGCTACTCAGGGCTACTTCCTGGTGGAGAAGGATCTGGGAGTTCTGGTAGATCGCAAGCTTAATAATGGCATGTAATGCCAAGCTGCGGTTTCTAAAGCGAGTAAAATCCTCTCTTGTATGAAAAGTGGTATAGACTCCAGAGAGTGAAATCATTTCCCCCGGTACAAATCATTAGTAAGACCTCATCTGGAATATGCAGTTCAGTTTTGGGCACCAATTCACAAAAAGAACATTGGGGAACTGGAGAAAGTACAGAGAAGGGCAACCAAACTGATAAGAGGCATGGAGGAGATCAGCTATGAGGAACTGAATTTATTCTCTCTTGAGAAGAGGAGATTAAGGGGGGATATGATCACCATGTATAATACATAAGGGGGGATGTGATCACCATGTATAATACATAAGGGGGGATGTGATCTCCATGTATAATACATAAGGGGGGATATGATCTCCATGTATAATACATAAGGGGGGATGTGATCTCCATGTATAATACATAAGGGGGGATGTGATCTCCATGTATAATACATAAGGGGGGATGTGATCTCCATGTATAATACATAAGGGGGGGATATGATCTCCATGTATAATACATAAGGGGGGGATATGATCTCCATGTATAATACATAAGGGGGGGATATGATCTCCATGTATAATACATAAGGGGGATATGATCTCCATGTATAATACATAGGGGGGGGGGGGGGGGGGGGGATGTGATCTCCATGTATAATACATAAGGGGGGATGTGATCTCCATGTATAATACATAAGGGGGGATGTGATCACCATGTATAATACATAAGGGGGATATGATCTCCATGTATAATACATAAGGGGGGGATATGATCTCCATGTATGATACATAAGGGGGGATATGATCTCCATGTATGATACATAAGGGGGGATATGATCTCCATGTATGATACATAAGGGGGATATGATCTCCATGTATGATACATAAGGGGGGATATGATCTCCATGTATGATACATAAGGGGGGATATGATCTCCATGTATGATACATAAGGGGGGATATGATCTCCATGTATGATACATAAGGGGGGATATGATCTCCATGTATAATACATAAGGGGGAATATGATCTCCATGTATAATACATAAGGGGGGGATATGATCTCCATGTATAAATACATCAGTGGTTCATATAGTGAACTCGGTGTAGCGTTATTCACCATGAGGTCATCACAGAGGACAAGGGGGCACTCTTTATGTCTGGAAGAAAAGAGATTTAATCTCCAAACACGGAAAGGTTTCTTCACAGTAAGAGCTGTGAAAATGTGGAATAGACTCCCTCAAGAATTGGTTCTGGCCAGCTCAGTGGATTGCTTTAAAAAAGTCCTGGATTCTTTCTTGGATACACAGAATATAACTGGATACTAACATTTATCGGTAAAGTTGATCCAGGGAATATCCGATTGCCTCTTGGGGGATCAGGAAGGAATATTTCTCCCTGCAGGAGTAAATTGGATCATGCTTTTTTTTTTTTTTTATTCTTTTAACTGGTTGAACTGGAAGGACTTTTGTCTTTTTTTCAGCCAGACTAACTATGTAACTGGTACACCCACGCAGACATCGCTGAATCCCTGGGTCGACAGGTTGCCAGTTGGGTATATCCTTCAAGAGCCTGTGTCGGGACATCCATCTCCACTAGTATTGGTATCTCAAGGATTGGGGAGCAAGCAGAAGCCTACCTTTAACATCGTATTCAGAGAGACTGCATGCAGACTACCTTTACACCCCTCAAAAACCTTTCACTGGGAAACACCTTTATTCTGTCCAACTTTGCAAGTCGCCATTGCACAGTAAATTTCCTTTGGCCCCTTTGTAGGTAGATGAAGATCTCGGACCTCTTACTTCAAGGACTCCTACACCCAAAGTAATTATCCTACAGACACCTGCTAATCTTAAGGGGACTCTTACCCAGGTCTCACATATTTGTTTTGTTATTTATTTTTGCCTGTGGCATCAGGACTTAGGAGGGAGCCGACAGACCCCAAAAAAAAAAAAAAAAAAAAAGTCTTCTCTTCCCCTTCTAGTACCTGGGGTCATAGGCTCTCTTAAAGGCCTGTTAGCTCTTACCGCCAAACTCACGGTCAATGCCATTTCATTGCATATCTGTGCTGCAATTTTGGGGAATACCCCAAGTTTGCAAGATAATATTGTACTAGAGATTATTATGCCAACAAAAATGTAATGTCCACTATTCCTTTTGGTGATTCTTGCACGTGTGCTTGCTCATTCTATCTAACCAGGTGTGCCAGAGAGGCTGAGGTGCAGAACAGAAAACCCAAAAGTTACCAAGCAGCGCCTTCAGAGGTGGCGCTACACTAATATTGTACAGCACCTGTAATAAAAGAAATATATATATATATATATATATATATATATATATATATATATATATATATATATATATATATATATATACACACACACACACACATATACACACCACTGTGAATTTACCAGCACTTTACATATATATTGTACATTCACATCAGTCCCTAACCCTCAAGGGGCGTACAATCTAAGGTCCCTAACCTACATTCATACATACACATACTAGGGACAATTTACCTACCAGCATGTCTTTGGATGCTCTAGTTTCCTGCCACACTCCAGAGGATATTATTCTAACCCTTTTTTTTTCCTGTCATTACTGCTCTATTTTGCCTACATCTGGTGGTCAACACCTCCAGGATCACCATGATATTTATATAATTATTTGATGTCTTTAGCAGTATATAACCATCAATGTACTACTACTGTATTATTTCTCTCATACATGGACTAACCTTGAATATTAATATATTTCATGTTGCCTCCAGTGGTTGGACAATGTCAGTGCCTTTGTTCTCACAGTGTACAGTACCTTTACTTATACCTGCCTTATCCTGTACTTTTGGTTGTAATAATTCACAATGTTGTGGTCATTGGGAGGAACACCACCATTATCGATAGAGAAAAATGTTATTGTTCCCTCTCACCTTCATGCTAATGTACCGTGAGCTTCAGATCTAATAATTAGCGAGGGTTCCTTAAGACCAGAAAGTTATTTCAACGGTTCTTCTGTATTAAAAAAGGTTTAGAAGTCTGTTGTAGATAGACAGTAAAGGTAATTCTTCTCCAAACTATCCAAAACTTTGAGGAAAGGTCCAGTCAAAATACAAAAAAAAAATATATATATTTATATAATAATAATAATAATAATGTTAGCGGCTACAAAAACTGTAGCTGCTGACATTAAAAAAAAACAGACACTTACCTGTCCCTCGATCTCATGGTGTCCTCACACTGGCCGGGTTCCTTGGCCATCCTGTGTCCGCATCTTCAATGTGGGCACCCGGCTGTGACAGCTTGCAGCTTCACAGCTGTGTGCCCGCTGCGCATGTGCGAGTAGCACTGAACTTTCTGAATGGTTCCGTAGTCTTCTGGGCCTGGTCATGTGTCCCAGAAGACTACAAGGAGGGAGGGGGGGGAAGACAATTTCTGATTCCGATCGTCTAGTCAGGGGTCTCCAAACTATGACCCTCCAGGTGTTTAGGAACTGCAAGTCCCAGGAGGCCACAGGCATGACTCGCAGAGGCATGATGGGACTTTTAGTACTTCAACAGCTGGAGGGCCATAGTTTGGAGACCCCTGGCCTAGCTGATTGCAGTGGAAGTGGGAACTTGCCAAAATCAGGTACCAACTCCCCCTCCCCAAAAGGTGCCAATCCTTAAAACAGGGAGCGGGGGACAAATCAGAATTTCCCCTTTTGGGTGGAGATCCGCTTTAAAAGAAAAAAAATATGTCTGTAGTTAAGCTTTAAAGCTGCCCTGTGGGTATGTTGGTTTTTGTCTAGGGGTACCATTGAAAAGCACTTTTGACTACTTTATCCCTCCTCTCCACTTCCCTCCAACATCTGAGGCTGTGGGTAACCCTAGGAATCCTTACTTACTGGACTACTGTTCTTCTTTGTACATGATGACATAGGAACATTTGTAAGCAGGTTGGGAACTGCTTGATAAGTTAGGTACTGGCCCACGCTGGGTTGGGAAATGGTTAAGTTCGCAACTCCCAATGTGTGGGCTTTTTGGGGCTTCAGCTGTCTCACCTGTGATATAAATTGGGGGAATGTGGAGGTCCGAGAGTCCCCAGTCCCTGACCGCTCTGGAGTGCTGCTGTGCTACTGCTGTTCTTGTTACATTCCAGGACAAGGAGAAACTCTACTACCTTTTTTACCGAGGATCCTGGGTTGCCATCAACTATGGTCATTATGACGAATGCCTGAAAGGGTATAATGAACCGCTTGACAATCTTTACTGACCAACTGTAGTGCAAACATTCCCTTGGGCCTGGTCTGAAGGGGTACATAATGGGGCGGGCATATCCAAAAGAACATGGGCCTGGAATGCACTAAAGGGGTATGAAGTACAGTATACTACAGTGTCAAGTCAGTGGGTGAGAAGAAGAGAACAAGGTCCTTTCTAAGAGTAATCAAGTACATATACATGACACATAGCAACCAGTCGAGGTACGGTCCTTGAGGAAGTCATTGCTTTGGTTCCCTTCTCAGCAGCCCATCTCCCATTTCAACCAGGAGCAGACCAACATTACGGAGACCTCAGCCTAGCCGCATGGTATGGGAGCAAAGGAGTTAACATAGGACACACATGAGATCCTTGCTATGTGTCCGGTGGGATCTCATTCTTTTACTGAGAGAGAGATAACAGAAGTATGTTAGCTGGTGGAGATAGTGTGACTCGGCCTGCAACTCCGAATGCAACAAGGAGACATCACAGTGTATAGAGTAATGGGACACCACCTAACACACAACTCCACTTTATTACTATACGCCATGTAAGCTCACCTCTGAGTCGGGAGACTGCCTTAATACTGAACTGTACAAATGAACGCAATTCCCACCTAGTCCCGGGCATTGGTGAGCGTGCTCTTGAGCAAAGGTCCCTTTAGTGCACGATGAGCCCCACTCACACATCGAAGAGTGATGGCAGAAAGATCAAGTGATCCACTGAGTCTGCCTTTTTATTACCTGTGTGTCTTAACATATATATATCTGTGTTTGTCTCAAGCATGTTTAAAATTCACTTACCATTGACTGATTCACTAGGGCATAGTTTACATCTGCATTCCGCTCTGAAATGGGATCCGCAATGGATCGCTTTTCAGAAAGTAGTACAGAAGCCATTGACAGACATTACTGTCACCTCCTGAATGATTTCTTTTTTCTTGACAGCCAAACAGTATTTGGTTCTCTGTTGTGGCGTGGCCCCATTCACTTCAGTGGGTTGTATGCAAAAGAGGGGGTATAAGATTTCCAGTGCCATAAAGCATTACAGGCATAATATGTGTACATCCCCATCCTTGGCAGTTTAAAGCTGAATTCCAGGGATTCAGCCACTTTGTAAAAACTGCAGGTATATCATGAATTAAGTCTGACGTGGTACCTGCTGCCTTGTTGAATTAGCTCGATTATTCACATCTGACAGGTTTATTGTGCTCTAGGAAGCTCACTGTGGTCTCTGAGTCGCTGGAACCACTAGGCCCCCTTTTCCCTCCTCCTGCCTATTCACAAAAGCCTATTCTGTGAACTAATTCTCAAAATACAAAGGCTTCTGTGAATGGGCAGCAGAGAGAAGGGGTGGGCATACCTGCTCTGTGTGCTTCTCTCCTCTCGCAGCCTGAATGCAGTAAATCGGTCACATATAAGTAATAGTGATAAGTTCTGAGGGTGACATGCAACTATTTGGACTTCACCCTTAGTGTGCCTACCTTACTGCAAAGTTACTGAATTCCAGGAATTCAGCTTTAAAGGAGGGTGGTCAGAGTGGTAAGTTCAACTACCTATTTTTAATTCAGCCTTTTTTGGGCAATTTCACTTTTTTTCATACCAAGAGCATATAAATTTAATCATCAGCTGGGTGAAAAAAAAAAAAAAAAAACTACACACAGAAGAGGTGATACAACTTACACAACCCAGAAATATTCTGTACCTGGAAATTCCGGTCAATTAAGAAATTGGTTTCGAAGTCATCATCATCCTCACCAAATGGATTAATCAGCTGCTCGCCCACCTTAAGAGGGAAGAGAAGGAAGCCAAAATTAATGTTTAAAGGATTCAAGATACAACCTTGCTAAAGCCAATACACATCAAGGAAGAAGAGAAATCCTTTTGCACGTCTTGGTTCTATTTGTGGTCTCGTACCTTCAGCCAGCCGGCATAGAAAAAGAACTGAAGGAGGGTGAAGACAGGGACATAGAGGTCCAGGTCATGGCCGGGGTACCCCTGGGCCGGATCCAGAAACTGACGCCCAATTAGACAGGTGAGAAAATAGCTGTATACGGCAATAGTTACCACCTAAGGCCAGAGAGAGAGAGAGAGAGACAGGTTAACAAAAATCGAATTTAAATATGAACTCATTACCAATCAGGATAGTGGGGTATATTTTATGTGTTTTCTTTGTGTCATTTGGAAAATAATGAAGTCAATCATGTTTTAAGGGTCCCCAATTATCTGCTATGCACTTAAAACGGATCATTTAGATGGCTCCTAGTTGGCCGAGTACGGAGGTTCTACCATCTATCCATACATATCCCTGTCACCTGAGATTGTATGGTGTTCCTACTTATTTTGCTGCATTCTATACAATATAAATTCAGAATAATAATAATCTACAATAAAAATTAAAAGCCTGGGAGGCAGAGTGGGTACCCTCCATAATGTTCAGAGCCAGTATGCAATCTCAGAGTGACCTTTACTCCAGGATCACACAAGTGTAGTATACCATTGTCCTAGAACAGCAAGGAGATGTAATTGGTGCAGAGATCTCACCAAAACAGCTCCCGAGAGATGGTAAAAAAAAAAAAAAAAGTTTGTCTCGTGGTTTTATTCTCTGGTGATTACCAAAATGTCAGCTTTGCATGGGCTGACCATTTAATTTTACTGTCAATTACATCTCCTTGCTGTCTAGGACAATGGTATACTACACTTGTGTGATCCTGGAGTAAAGGTCACTCTGAGATTTGGGGGTTCCATAATAATAGATTTTGATTTGGTGGTCCCAGAAGAACAAAGGATTAGGATTCAGGGGTCCCAGAACATCATATTTGGATTTTGGGGTCCCAGTATAAAAACACACTGACAGAAAGTATCTTACCTGGGTGTACACGAGGGGGACACTTATCCAGTCATAGTGGAAGAGCATACCACAGTTTCCACGGAAAGCATTTAACTCCTATAGAAACACAGTAGTTGCTGAGATATTCTACTTCAAAGCCATTTTATTAGATTACAAAACATACATTTGAAGACACTAGCTTTACAGGTTCACTCACCCCCTCTATGAGCAGATGAACCTGACAGATGAATTGAATGACCATTCATCGTTACTCCTGAAGAAGGTAACATCCGACTAATCTCAATAGGCCTGTTTCCTTCTCAGTTACCTTCTAGATGACCCAAGATAGTAGTGCTCAATCAGTACTGCCCTTTGTCTTTCATCATCTGAATCTAAGTATCTATATGAAATTTTTGATGTGCACAATCTGTCACTAGTGGAAGATCTAAACCTTACCACCTCTGTACCTTCTCTATAGTTTGTACCTGTAACTCCTGTTCATAAAAACTCAATAAAACTAGATTAAAAAAAAAAAAAAAAACTGAAGAACCAGCTCAAGTATATTTTGGGGAACATCCGAAGAAGGAAGAAGAAGAAGAAGGAGGAGGAAGAAGAAGAAGAAGGAGGAGGAGGAGGAGGAAGAAGGAGGAGGAGGAGGAGGAGGAAGAAGAGGAGGAGGAGGAGGAGGAAGAAGGAGGAGGAAGAAGAAGAAGAAGAAGAAGAAGAAGAAGAAGGAAGAAGAAGAAGAAGAAGGAGGAGGAAGAAGAAGAAGAAGAAGAAGAAGAAGAAAGAAGAAGGAGGAGGAGGAGGAGGAGGAAGAAGAAGAAGAAGAAGAAGAAGGAGGAGGAGGAAGAAGAAGAAGAAGAAGAAGAAGGAGGAGGAAGAAGAAGAAGAAGGAGGAGGAAGAAGAAGAAGAAGAAGAAGAAGGAGGAGGAAGAAGAAGAAGAAGGAGGAAGAAGAAGAAGGAGGAAGAAGAAGAAGAAGAAGGAGGAAGAAGAAGAAGGAGGAAGAAGAAGAAGGAAGAAGGAGGAGGAAGGAGGAGGAGGAAGAAGAAGAAGGAAGAAGAAGGAAGAAGGAAGAAGAAGGAGGAAGAAGAAGGAAGAAGAAGGAGGAAGAAGGAGGAAGAAGAAGGAAGAAGGAGATAGAGAGGACAACAGGTTTTCAAAATGATCTACCCCCCTTCTTCACCCACTAAACACATG